AGTACCTTCCTAATTATTCCCTTTGATTCAAACATTGAGGGCCCAAAACTTTTCACAAAAGCCCTCTCCTTATTTACCAAGAGAGCTACCAATCTTGAGATATGCTCAAAGGTGAGTGTGTCTAAGGAACCCAAGGAATCCTTGCACCATTCTCCCAAGGGAACTGATGCTTCATTGCTGCCTACAGTCACAGGGCAGGAGGCTAATACCAAATGCAGTGGAGATGTCACAAGTTCAAAGGGTTTTGTTGGTGATCTCACCCCAGCCGAACCTAATAAGCAATTAGTTATTTACCAAACTAAAGCAGCTCCTGGCTTCACCCTCTCCACCAGTCAATCCGAAGAGTTTCCACCTCTACCACGGAAAATACTTAGTCCTTCTGCTCCCGCCTTCGTGCCTGCTATATACTCCTATGCTGCTCTTTTCACTCAGGAAGAAGGATCGGAAGCTATAGCAGATTTGGAAGATGACCCCTTTTCAAATCTCCATGGGCAAAGTTTGATACTATCCCTCAACGCAGTGGAAGATCACGCAAAGGACAGGGATGGACCCATTCTATATACCCACTCTGATGGGGAGGATTTTGTGTTCATAGATACAAAGCTCAAACCTATGCAAATTGACCTCTCAAGATGCTCCAAACACCCCTCCATCTTCGTAAGGAACTAAAGGGTAGAAGGACGTACTCACCGTCACAAATTGTTACAAGGAGTAAAGCTAAAATCCTTGAGCAAGGAAGGAAAATTAATCCTATCGGCTGGGTCGAAGAAGAAGACTTGTTAGGTCCCCAAGAATCACATGAAGATGAGGTTATCAATTTTTTCAAACTTTGTTGTCCTCACAAGAAAGAAGATCCTAAACCTCTTACCAAACCCCTAACCAAAACGCAAAAAAAGAAATTGAAGAAGAAAAAAAAGCAGTCTCAATTTTCTGCATATGGTTTTGAGGAAGATATAGAATATGCTTATTAATTATCTCTTCATACTGTTTTTTCCGTTAGCTGCCTTCTTTTACGAAGTCAGTGAGTTGGAGTTGAAGATCAGAGCACCTGTTTTTCATCTCTCAACACTGCCATATCCCTTATCTTAGGGTATTCGGCTAGTCTCTGGGGAGCTAACACAGTTGTGTTAGGAATCCACTTCTGTTTGGATGGAGGTACAAAGTACAACAAAAGAGATGGGGCAAAATGCACATGTTGATGGAAGATAATTGAGGACAAGGGACCTGTGGAATTGTACTACGCTGTTTGGAGCTTTTGCCTGGTCTTTCACTAAACTGCACAGATTACACAGTCCTTGGTGGGGAAATTATAACAAGCCGTATAATTGGAGCCCCTTTGGAATATTGGAAGTTTCTTTTTGTCTAGTTTATTTAGCTTATGGTACCTGTTTCTATTTCCTTTCCTACATTTACTCTGGCCGAAGTGTAGGGCAACTGGCCACCCCACTTGTACTTTTCTTTCTTCTTCTCTATTATTAATAAATTTCCTTTATTAATATAATATATATATATATATATATATAGTTCTTTCTGTCTGGGAAGGAGATTCAAGGCGGAAGGATTCCACTTCTGCGATCGATTGGGTTACAGATTTAGATGGCAGGTAGTCTCGAGAAGGGGGAGAAGGTGATCTACGTGAGATGTAATTGATGGTGTTTGTCGGTCAGACTCTGAGGTTGACCTTCTTGTTTGTCTTTTGCCTTTCTTTTTTATTTTACTTTTGGGGCTTCGGTCTAGTCCTCCACTGATTTTGGTGGTTATTTTCGGGTATTAATATATATATATATATATATATGTTCTGGTGAGAATGCAATCTTAGGAGAGAAATGAGAATGAATCCGGTGCTTTAGATTGTGAGATCTAAGGGTCAAGATTTTATCAAAATTAGATTCACCAAAATGGTGCGAAAATGCATCACATCGAAATGCACCATAAACCTTCGAAAATGCACTATCTCAAAATTTGAGTGCAGAATGCAATCTGAGCCGCACGATGCATCAGATCCGACGGCTAGATTTTATTCTCATTTCTCTCCACAAGGTGCATTCTCACAGGAACCAGCCCATATATATATATATATATATATATATATATATATATATATATATATATATATATATATATATATATATATATATATATATAGTGAGATCGGGTGTGACGCCCCGAAATTAGGCCTAAAAGAATTAATTAAATTAAATATTAATTAATGACTGAGACAG